AAGTGATTCTAAAAGCAGCTCTAGATTTTGGGGGGTCATATGGTAAAACAAAAATATGCAGGATCTTTCTGAAACTAGAGGCACACACCAAACCCCTTGTCTACTTTTTTCTTAAGACTGATAGGGATAGAATAGCATAGTTATACAGCTGGTTGTAGAAGTCCTGGTAGGAGACTGCAGATAGAGAAGGAAACCTGGGAAACTTTAGGAGGCCACTGTAAGTTAATGATCGCTCAAGAAACCTATTGGAATAGGTTCAATGAAGCAGGCCTGCTTAAGTATAAAACCATGAGCAAAACCACAATATATGCCCCAGGCCATTAGATGGAAGAAAAATGTTACCCCCCCCCCTTCCTGCATACCGTAATTCTAGACCTCATAGGGCATGCATGCTCAGTTGCTTCAGTCATGTGATTCTTTGCAACCTTATATCCTGAAGCAGACACAACTGAAGCGAATAAGCAGCAACAGAACTGTAGCCTGCCCGGTTCCTCTGTCCGTGGGATTATCCAGAAAAGGATACTGAAGTGGGTTGACATGCCCTCATCCAGGGGGATCTTGCTGACCCAGGGATGGAACCTGCATCTGTTATGTCTCCTGCCTGCATTGGCAGGTGGGTTCTTTACCATTGGCACCCCCTGGGAAGCCCCTGACCTCATAGGGTCAGACACTTTACTGCCTAATATGAAGGAGGAGCTAGTGATATATGCCTTACGTCTGCATCTATGTCTATTTGAAAAAGGGGGAAAGACCCTTTTTCATTATAAATTGTAACCCACTCAGTCCTCTGGGCAGAGCTCCCTTTCCTGCCCATTGGCATCTCTTACAAGCATCCTATATTAGTAAATCTTTTTGCCTGTCACTTTGCCTCTCACTGAATTCCTTCTGCTCTGAGACACAAAGAACCCAAGCCTCAGTAAGTTCAGACATCAGGTAAGTGTGTTCTAATTAAAGATCATGAGTTCAAGTCCCAAGCAGGGTTTTGGCTGGATTTGAGTCCTGGCCATGTGGGTTTGAGTCCCAAACTAGGTTTTGGCTAGGGTCAAATCCTGGCACATGGGTTCAAGTCCCAATGTGAGGTAAATGGTTTCAAAACCATTTAGGTTTTCTGTATTCTTTCTCCTGCATTTCTAGATTTGTGTCCTGACTCATCCCTCTTCTTTTCCTATCTCAATACTCCACCTTCCCACTTTCCTTCTCTACCTGCACAGAGGTCTCCTTCCATGGTAGATAGAATGAAGGCCCCCCAAAATGTCTGTGTCCCCGTAACTGGAACCTACAGATTGTTGTGTTACATGTCAAAGGGGATTTGAGGTTCAAATGGAATTAAGGTTGCTAATCAGCTGACCTAAAGATAAGGAGATTATCTTGTATTATCAGAGTAGATCCAGTGTGGTTACAATGGTTCTTTTTTTTTTTTTTCCATTTATTTTTATTAGTTGGAGGCTAATTACTTTACATCATTGCAGTGGTTTTTGTCATACATTGAAATGAATTAGCCATGGATTTACATGTATTCCCCATCCCGGTCCCCCCTCCCACCTCCCTCTCCACCCGATCCCTCTGGGTCTTCCCAGTGCACCAGGCCCGAGAACTTGTCTCATGCACCCAACTTGGGCTGGTGATCTGTTTCACCCTAGATAATACACATGTTTCGATGCTGTTCTCTTGAAACATCCCACCCTCGCCTTCTCCCAGAGTCCACAAGTCTGTTCTATACATCAGAGTCTCTTTTTCTGTTTTGCATATAGGGTTATCATTACCATCTTTCTAAATTCCATATATATGTGTTAGTATACTGGAAGAAGTGGAAAAAGGAGGCAAAGGAGAGTCAAAATGAGAGGTGACTACAGAAGAGGTCAGAATGATAAAGAATCAAAAGGAGTCAACTCACTTTTGTTGGTTTTGAAAATGAAGAAAAAAGCCAAGAGCCAAGGAATGTCAGCAATCTCTCGAAGCTAGAAAACGAAAGGAAACATTTTGCCTTAGACCTCCAGAAGGAATATCTGCCAATATCTTGATTTTACGCTAGTGGGACCTATTTCAGACTTCTAATCTCCAAAACTGTAAGATAATAAATTTATATTCTTTAAGCTAGTAATACTAAATTTACAGTAATATGTTACAGCAGTAATAGAAAACTCACACGCTTTCCATCTCAGCCTCCTAAGGACAGCTATGCCTTTTCCAGGGAACATAAACAGGCATTAGGACATAGACTTTTCCTGGATACTCAAATGAAAATAATGGGTCATTTAATCAGTTAATGGCAGATCTGTTAGCTAACAGCAGAGAAACCCTTATTAATAGTGATGTAAACAAGATAGATGCTTATTTCTGTTCACGTAGATGGCAGCCAGCTCACAACTGACATTGTGGCTCTACAGTATCAATAAGGACCATCCCTTCCTGCTCATCCTGGAGTGTTAGGCCAGATGTTCAAGGTGGAACCCTGTGCTGAACATGACTACCTTCCAGGCCAGCAGCAAGAGGAAGGGGAGGCAAAGAGCACATCCCTTTCCTTCAAGGACACTTCTGCTTATGTCTCAGTGGCCATAACATAGTCAAATAACCATATCAAGCTGCAAGGGAACCTGGGAGTGTATTTTTCAGCAAAATATACTCAACTAAAATTCAGGGTTCTTGTGGTCTTTGTTAAAAAGAAAAAAAAATTGTTATCACTGATGAAGACAAGGAAAAGCGGTATTAGAAGCAAGCTGTGGTCTCTGCCACAAGTTACTGTGTGATCTGGTTTAGAGTCAAAGCCAGCATCATAGCTGACCAGTCTCTCAGAGCTCCCTCAGGTCCAATGAGGATTTGGAAATTCTGTGATAGTCTGTATCCTAGTGTGATAAATTCTAATTTGGAGGAAATATTAACTTCCCAGAGCAGTTTCCATGGTCCTGTAGATCGTGGCTCCTTCCATCTTTGGATGAATGGAAGAGTTATGCTATGCTACTGGATAAGTGGGTTCAATCCCTGTGATGGGAAGATTCCCTGGAGAAGGGAAAGGCTACTCACTCCAGTATTCTGGCCTGGAGAATTCCATGAACTGTATAGTCCATGGGATCACAAAGAGTCGGACACAACAGAGCGACTTTCACTTTCTTTTGCTTGACCCTGTGATGTTTTACGAGGCTGTAAGATGTTTGTTTGATTTGGGGCATATAATTTACCTGTGGGTTAAGTTATATTTAAATGATTCCATCCCTAACCATGCTGATGAAATCATTGATGTTGTTAAAGCCTCCCTTTTGTTTATTTGTTTTTATATGCAATATCCCTCCCTTGATCTTCAAGCATTTGAAACTAGAGTTCAGAGATCTTCCTGGCTTCAAAATTCTTTCAGCCTTCCTTCCCATTTTATTGTCTCAAAGCCCTTTGAAAATAAATTGAGAGAACAGTTAAAAGTGTTAGTCACTCAGTCATGTCCAGCTCTTTGGGACCCCATGGACTGTAGCCCACCAGGCTCCTCTGTCCATGGAATTCTCCAGGCAAGAATACTGGGGTGGGTTGCCATTCCCTTCTCCAGGGGATCTTCCTGACCCAGGGATCGAACCCAGGTCTCCTGCATTGCAGGCAGACTCTTTACCATCTGAGCCACTTGGGAAGCCCCTGAAACAGTTAACTATCTTCCAGTTTATACTGTGTGCTCTTGGGTTGGCATTTGCAGTATTCTTTATAAAATAACATTCTCTATACAGAGACCTCTTTGTTCACAGAGAGTTCTGTCTAATTACTTCTATTGTCTTGAAGAACTAGATATCAAGAAATAGAAACCAAAGAAAATAATATGTAGACTTTTGCTTTTTTGGTAATTAAATAAAAATTGTTTCCTGATTTTCATGAATATGTAAAAACCTATGTACTGAATTTATTATGGATTATTTTTCTTTCTATAGGTTTTCTATGTGACTTCTTTCCTTTCTGAAATTGTAGCTTGAGCCTACTTTATCCCTAGATAAAAATATTCCCCAAAGCTAGTAGAAGTCATGGTTTTTAATATAATATCTTCCGAACAAGACTCAACTGGTATTGACTAAAGCAGTGTTTAATGCTTCTCATTTATGGGGTCATGCACTCTAGTTAAATTGCAGCTCTCAGACATTGCTTCAGTGACCTAAAGGGCAAATTTACAGTACAGAAATAGCATATGACACCTTGACAGGGAGGAAGACCTGATCAGAATATGGGGGAAGTGGGCACTGAAAATAAAATAGGATACTTTCTGAGGTGAACGGCAAGAATAAAGTGAGATGGGAGGGGTCAAGAAATAATTAGAAGAGAAATGAAATTGGGATAGGATTTGAAGGGGGTGGACGGTAAGGATGGAAAGAGATCTGGCAGAGCCAGAGACAAAGAAACTATCTTACCATCTACATAGGTACAGAACTCCACTCTCTAAAACAATATCTAACAATAGCAGTACCCAATAAATAACAACAATAATTATGCATACTGTCACCCTTACTTTTTGAACTTATTTCATAAACTTATTTCATAAATTCAGTTCAGTCACTCAGTCATGTCAGACTCTTTGCGACCCCATGGACTGCAGCACGCCAGGCTTCCCTGTCCATCACCAACTCTGGGAGCTTGCTCAAACTCATGTCCATTGAGTCGGTGATGCCATCCAAACATCTCATCCTCTGTCGTCCCCTTCTCTAATAAATTTCATAGATTAAGATAAATTTGATAACTTCCTTTCTTCATGTGGCAGTTCGTCTTAGCTGATTTAATGATTCCCCCTGAAGACAGAATGGAAGGGGGAGAGATAGGGAGGAAGAAAAGCACTCCTCATCTCTCTGGTCTGCCTGCCCCACAGACACAGTGCTGGATTGGGGATGTAGATGGCTGGAGAAGCCTGGCCTGACTGCAGTCATTCTTTTGGGATCTCCCAGTTATGGTGAACCCACACATTTGGCAGCTGGTGATTTCTCTGATGTATTTTTCCTCCTTGTTTTCTTTCCTAGTGTATCTGAAACCCGCCCAGCGTTCCAATGGCCAGCAACAACACCGCCAGCATAGCACAAGCCAGGAAACTGGTAGAACAACTGAAGATGGAAGCCAACATCGATAGGATAAAGGTAAGGATGGCGTCACCTACAGGCTCAGCTGGCCTTGTCAGGTGCATGACTTGTAGCCAGGTGTCATTTGACTATTCTATGGAGAACGATGAAACCAGAGATGGTGGGAGAGAAACTTAATAGTTAGGCTAAAGTTCATTTTCTAATGTGCCTTTGCCCTCTCTGAAATTTTCCAGAATAAAATGATAGTATAAATTAAAACTAGTTCACTGAGTGACTTCAAAGCAGAATTTAGGCTCATGGCTGAATTCTAGCCAAAGGATTTGGAGAACCCACAAAACATAGCAATCAACCAGTTCACTTCTCTGACGTTGTAAAGAAGTCCTTCTCACTTGGGTTTAATTTTTTCTATCCTGATGTATGTTCTAATTTTTAGTGTCTATCTTTAGGTCTAATCCTTCTATCCACCATTTTTATTTTTACTTTTTTTCTCTTTTATACTCTTGGATTTTTTTTCTTTAGAACACAAAAACCACACATGGTCTCGCTGAGAAGTCAAACAGCGTAAAGGTTTCATGGAAGTTAATAATCTACTTATTTCTTTCTCTCACTCCCCAGATCTAACCTGATAGCTTTGCCTTAAGTTGGACCTAACGTATTGAGCCAGGACTTTAAGTAGAAACCTTTTGTTGGCAGATTTTCAGTGTAAATTACCTCATATAGATAGCTACCACAGGTAGTAAATTTTTGTCAACTATCAAAGCTTCACTTCCTCAGAAGACCTGAGCATTTTATGACATGGAACTCAGCAGCGTATTTCATTTTACTAAAATTAGAACATTTTTCCAAATGCCTTTTTTAAACTGAAAGATTTGTCCATACCTGCCTTAGGAACCTGAACAATCCAACCCTCCTTTGGAATGTGCTTCTAGAGCAAGGGTCAATAAATTATGGCTCATGAGCCAAATCCAGCCCACTGTCTGTTTTTGTCAATAAAGCTTTATTAGCACACAGCCCCATATACTCATTTACATCTTGTCTGTGGCTCCTTTGATGCTACAGCAGCAGGGTAGAATAGTTGCAACAGAGACCACTTGGCTCAGAAAGCCTAAAACTTTTACTCTCTGGCCTTTTAGAGAAAAACTTTGCTGAACCCTGGTCTAGAGGAGCGATTCTCAGCCCACCTGTACATTCAAATCACCCAGGGAATTCTATAAAAAGAACCACTTCTAAGACCACAGCGCAGACCAGTTAAATTAGAATCTATGATTCAGACAACAGTAATTTTTTTTTTTTACATTAGCAGTTAGTTTTAACGTTATAGCTAAGGTAGAGAACCATGGTCCCATGGGAAGAGGTTTGCTCCTTATAATTCCCATCAGGTCTGTACTAGAGTCTGAAGGGAGAGGCTTATTTTCCTCCGTAGGTAAGCTGAGCAAATAACCATAGACATTTTCCCATCTTTCCTTAATCTCCTTTATAAAACTTGAATCCTGGTAATGAGCCACAAAATATAAACAGCTTCTTTCTTGCAATTGCTTTAATTCTTCTTTATTGATAATGTGATAAAGGGTCCTTAACATCTCTTTTGCACCTTCTCTACCTTCCTCGCCTCCATGTTCCCCTTGACCTGTCCTTTTTTTATCTCCTTACTTTAAAAGTATAATGTGGCGAGTGGGCAGAGTACGTGCTGGGAGGAGTGAGGTCACGCAAAGATTGTGGCACCAAAAAGAGTCATTCCGTTCTTTTTTTTTTTTCCTGCTGTTAGATGTTCTGCATGTGGGCCTCTGGAAAATGCCACTTTGCCTTTTGGGGTGGCCCAGTGAAGATGAAAGTGTTTGCCAAGCCCCAGTATGGATTTTCTGGTACAACTCAGCATCCCCAGGCCCAAGTCCTGAAGCAGGAGGTGATGGTGTAGGTGGTATGAGAAGCTGACAGTGGGAGGAACAGGGCGGAAACAGGCCTTTTCAGCTGTAGGTTAGACCATCATCACCTCTCACCTGAACTCCTAACTGCACAGTGCACTTAGCTGACCTCTGCAAGCCCTTCTCAACCCCAGTCCATCCCCACCATCACTTATCCTCCATGTGGCTGCCAAAGACCACTTGCTGCAAGAAAAGCTTATTAGGTTCCTTTCCTGTTGAACATCTTATCGTGACTCCTATCATGTTGAACTTGAAAATCAAACTCTTCAGCAGAGTGTGTGTAAGGTCTTTCTGACCCCTGCCCCTCTTTTCAGCTTTGGCCCCTTGCCCTCACCCCCATGCCATATTGAACCATTCTTAATTTCCTTGATGGGAATTTCAAATGGCTGGAACATTCAGTCTCCTCCTCTTTACATTTCTCCTTTCCCAACTCCCATGACTCCTTGAAGACTCAGTCATTAGGTCCTTTAAGATGTTTTATCAGACCTTCGTCATAAGAGTGGATTTTTGCTATTTTTATGTTATTTATTCCTTTATCCAATACATATTTTAGTGAGAGCTTTCTAAATTGCCAGGCCCTGTTAGGTCTTAGAGATATAGAGCTGGATAAAGATGAAGAAATGATTCTTGCTCTCAAGGATCTCCTAGTCTAATAAAGGGTTACCAAAAAAAATGAACAAGACCTATTACTGATACAAGTTAAGACATCCAAAAAGCATAATTACCAAGTGTCATCAGAATGAAGCCAATACCTCACCCTGATTACCTTGGTATACTACTTGTGAAGAGATCAAATAAGTCAGTATCTCTTTGAGACATAAGCGTTGGCCTAATAAACTGAACAATGAGTGATTGCCTTCCTAGCTGATTGTAACTTTCAAATCTCTCAATTCCTCTTGACATCATTGGACCTAAAATTGTTGGAAATAACAGTGGCAGCCTATATTTCAGCATTTGTTCTGCACATCAGAGCCAGGCAGGCATGCTATGGTGAAGTGTCAGGTTATTTTTAGTTTAGCTCTTGGAATAAAACTGTCACTGGTTTAGGACTAGTTTATCTGCCTTCGGAGTCCCTTTCAGGGTTTTGACCGTTCAGGTTTCTCCACCTACTTTCCATGCCTGATCCTGTCAGCAAGAAGGAGCTTCTCTCTGAAGATCCCAGGTTTGTGATTTTTCGAATCACAGCAGTGGCCTCTTCAAACTGTAAAGGCTGCAGTGGCTTGATGTCCCTCTGGCAGAGCCTAGTGTAGCTGAGGCAATAGGGAACAAGGAAAAGGGAGCACAGCTGACCCTGGGGGTGTCCAGGGTCCCTTCTGCAAGGAGTGGCCTTATCCCTCCTGTGGCCTCCAGAATATCCTTGGCTGCCTGGAGTAGGCTTACCATGAGAGGGTCTGAAGAGCATATTCCTTTTTAAGCCTTCTTGTTTCCTATCCCTTTGTATCACAGATCCTGGGAGATTTGGGCTAATGAACCCATTATCTGTTCATAAGCCTCAGGCATGTATAAATGATACTCCCAGCCTCTCTGTGTTTCTTTGTTAGCATTTCATTCAAGGACAGAAAGGAAAGAGAAGCCAAGGAAAGCTGGGATGGGTTCTGGGGAAAGGGACATAGAGAGGTTTTGGAGACTGTGACACTCAGATGTATGAAACAACAAGATATGCTGCTGTTGAGCAAAGACCAGTAAAAGAAAGCTTGTCCTGAGAGTGCACGTGTGAAAGCAAAGGACGGTAAGACTTCAGTGAATCTATTTATTCGTCACTATATTAGGACTCTGGGTTTCTAATAATAGCAACCTAACCACAAGCTGGCTTAAGCAGAAAGAAGGGATTGATGATCGAAGATACAAGGCGTCTCAGAATCTGAGAGCAGAAATGTAGCTGAGTGAGCATGGGGAGTCAGAACTGGGAGCAGTCAGAACTGGAGCCAGCACGAACTGTGGGTGCTCTGGGGTGTCTCTGCTTCTCTCAGCCTCTTTCCTTTCCCGGGAGGAATAGATTTCTCAGCTGCCTGTTGCATGTGGTGGACACAGGATGGCTGCCCACAACTCCCAGGATCACACATCACACTTTCAGCTCCATGAAGAAAGAGGCAGACTCAGGTCATCCCTTTTAGTCTCACTTCCTAGAGTGGAACATTTGTTCTACCAAGGATGAGCCATCTGCAGCTTCAATCACCTAACGCTCGAATTAAAGCACATTGCACAAACATGGCTCCTCGGAACCCACCCACCCGTAAGCGTGGGAAGGGTAGTTAAGGAGGGGTGAGAATCATCATAAGCTGAAAGGAAGCCCTTTAATGCATGGCATTGTTGGCAGCATGAATAATATACATGTAAGTGCAAAAGAAAGCCAAGGCCAGGAGCATGGGTGAAATGATTGCTACTTAACTAATTGGATGCTCCTTATATTGGCCTAACATATAAATGCCAAAGTTATTTCTCATTTCTCCCAAATGTTTCCAATAGACCTTTGTAACTGGCGCTCTTCACTGTCTAAAGAATATGCCGTGCAGAGTACCATCTCTCTGGTTATTCTGAATCCCTCAGTGAGAACACCCTTCCCCTTATTCTTTTTCTATTTGTTGTTATTGTTCAGTTGCTCAGTCACGCCCGACTCTTTGCAGCCCCATGGACTGCAGCATGCCAGGCTTCCCTCTTCTTCACCCTCTCCTGGAGCTTTCTCAAACTTATGTCTGTTGAGTCAGTGATACCATCCAACCATCTTGTCCTTTGTCATCCCCTTCTCCTCCTACCTTCAGTCTTTCCTAGCATCAGGGTCTTTTCTATTCTTTTCCTATTTATTGTAGGCTAAATGTTTGTGTCCCTCCCCATATTCATACATTAAAATCCTAACACCCAATGTGGCAGTATTTGGAGATGGGGCCTTTTCGAAGTGATTAGGTCATGCAGGCAGAGCCCTCAGGAATGGAATTGGTGCCCATATAAAGAGGCTCAGCAAGCTCCCTGGCCCTTTCCACCTTGTGAGGTTATAACAAGAAGATAGGCATCTATGAACTAGAAATCGAGACCCAACAGACGCTGAATCTGCCGGCACCTTGATCGTAGACTTTCCAGCCTCCAAAACTGCTTTTTACAATCTACCTGGTTTTGGCATTTTATTAGAGCAGCCCAAAT